CTTCTCACAACTAGGAATCCATTATTCTCACCTACACCATATGCTGAAATTTCCCAGGGACAACCATCTACACAGCACTTCACAATCATCTTATGCCTATCATTCTTTACGTACCGGTAACCAAACTTGTGTGCAAGGCTATACTTATATAATGCCTCTCTAAAATGTTCAGCACTAACAAAGGTTTGCCCTCTTGACATCAACAAATCTGCCCACTTTGATGAATTCATCACCGCTATTGGGGTTGGCAACGTTTCCATACCTACACTTCCTATCAGTGTTGGCACATCTTGTACGGAAGATATGTTTATGTTGTCTGTGTCTAGATCCAATTCCATTGCAGATACTGACATTCCACAAGGGCCAACCAAATCATCTAACCTGCATAAACAAATACAGCTATTCAGTATTACAGTTCAATTTATCAAAATTGGACATATTCTTTCTTATCCTACACACAATCTTAATAAAACCAGTTGAGAACAACTTACTCTTGTACACTGTCCAGCTGTGACACTTGTGTGAAGTCTTTCTCATTCTCACAAACATAAACATGGCCACTACTATTGTTGTACTCAATTACTTGTCCAACACCAATATCGTCAACAAGATCCAAGAATGTATCCCGGTCAAAGCTAACTGTGTACTTCATTTTATATTCACGAGTCCCTGGCCACACATCATGAGCTACCATGCATTGTAGTTCTTCATATGTCATCCCTTCTCTAATCAATCTTCCAGTAATGATGCCCCCTTCATAAATGAATTTCCCTTCTGAGGTCTTTACAAAGTGCCCTCTAACATGAAAGATGCAAAATACTTGTTTCCTACTACTGCTAGCCATTTATCCTCTGCTGCTGCACATCATTCAAGTATGACACAACGTACGTTTACATCAGCAATTTGACAATTGACAACAAGAATTAGTATTTTCACAACATTATATTGCTTTTTCTCGCACACAACCAGAATTACCAAATTTACCATCGTACTATGTATTTTCACCATTCCTCTGCGCGTCTACCTGTCATATAACCCATTCCAGGCCACACACCCATTTCCCTTTCTTTTTCGCCTACCTATGTTCCTTCAGCAGTGCATTATTCTCAATATGCACCCACTTTTCAAAACATCACAAACACCACATCTTTAACAACTTAAAACAGCATCAGCATGAATTTCTTAAACCATAAAACCGTAAGATTTGCAACTCACTCCCAACCTACATGCCCATGCACTTAAATACTCATTTCTTCCTCATTCACCCATCACAACCCACCTGTGCTAACCGAATCACACCAACAAAACCAAAATTTTAACAACAAAATCTTACCTCCCACGCCAACCTGACGCTACTTCCAGAGAACACGCAACACTGTAGGGCACACTTGCGACTTCTCTCTCTTGCACCAACTCTAGCTTGGAGTCCGAAAGACGGCGGAGGGACGGACCGCAAAAGTGAAGCTCCGCCACTGCGTTTTCTCAGCTCATGGTTGTCAGCTATCTCCCTTCCGCACCGGCGCGTTGCATGGGAGAGGCAGGAAATAACGCCATCTCCTCCCTTTCCGTCTTTTACACCCGCTGATAATATGTCTCATTTTCGGAGGAAATAAGTCTTCATTAGGGGCAGTGGCGTCATTTCGCTTGTGGAATTAATATCAGATTGGCCCCTTGGTCCTGCAGTGAGATTTCAGAATGTTTTGGGGGCTCTTTGAAATTATTTGTCTTCTGCGGTCCTACAGTGAAATTTCCCCAAGAAATATTGTCACAAATTAAACGCCTTTTCATATAATTTCACACTTCATATTGATAAATTTCTTTTTTAAAAGTAAATACTTTGAAAACATCCTAATTATTTATTTTCTGCTTATAATTGTAGAGGAGAGGGATTACTTAAATTTCACGCTTGTCATTTATTTGATGATCGATTTTTTCCTTTCTATTACATTGAAATAAAATGAACACGTCTCGCATTAAAGAAGCATTTGAAGCGTGATTTGACAAGGAGCATACTCTTCTATTGACTTGTTTTCAAGAGTAACATGTATGCTTAACTACTTTCTGGAGTTAACGTAATCGAAAATGGATAAATAAATATTACTTAGAATCATCAACGGTCTTGTAACCTAATAACATACTTCTCTAGTCCTATTTATAAGACAGAGAGAGAAGATATTTTTTGATTCTATTTATAGAATATTGAGAGAAATTTTTTTGTATAGATTTACAATTTTAACCCTAATTTATTATTGTGTTGACTTTATTTACATGAGATATAATGAAGATTAAATAGCAATAAAGTTGGAAAGTTATTAAATTTTAAATGAGAGTTAATGAAGTTTAAGGTTTTTCTTAGTATGTGTGAAACATGCTGTAAGTACCTTATAAATAAGACCAGAAGAGTATTAAATCTTCTTATAAGTGGGATGTTGTGGGTTTTAATCTCGAATCATTAATGCCTATCCCTTCTAGGGGTGCACATGGGTAGGGCAGGACCCCTGCCTGATGCCCGGCACAAAATATGAATGGGCTGCATTTTGTAGCCCGCTGCCCGGCCCTGCCCATAGAAGCCCTGACCATTTTGGACTGGGTATGGGCGGGCTGGGCAGGGCGGGCTTCGTTGCCCAAATAGTGATGACCTGCCGATATCACATGTAAAAAAACTTGCGTCCATAACTACAAATTACATTTCACAATTTTACATTTTCGCACATTGAAATTATCCAGAAATAATTTAAAACAAGTCTTAGCAAATATCTAAATAAATAATATTCATAATCCATTTAGAACAAAACAACTTTCAAGATTGTAATTAAAACCTTGAAATTCAAACGGTTTGCGTCAATCTTCATAAAGTTGAGAAAAGAATAAAACATTTTAAAAAATTGAAGAGGGGTTGAAGCACATTGAGATATTCCATTGAGGGTTGGAGATGGCGATGTAATAGAAGCTTGATTATCCATTCAAGTCGCAAAAATTAAATGTTACCTAAAAGATTGTAAAAAGATATTAAAACTGAAGCAATGGGTTAAAAGGAATAATATAGACCATATAAAAATATGGTGAAATAATTGTAAAAAGATAAATAAAAAAAATCTTAAAATCTTATAATAATTTAATATAACCACTTTTAATATGCAAACATTTATTATGTGATACAATGCAGTTAGTAGTCCATACAACTAAAAGACTTCTTTCCATCATATGATTTGTTCATAAAAAATTAATACCAAATAACTAAATATAAATTAAATAAAAAAATAATACATATAATTCAGATAATTAAACCCTAATTTTCTTTCTCTGCTCCTACCCCAATCTTGTTTTCTATCTTGTATAAATATTCAAAATTGTTGATTTATATAAATATGTAATGTATGAACTTCATTCTCTAACAAAGTCAGTTGTTAATGGCATATAAGGGAAGACGGACTTATAAATAGCCAACATTACAACAGCAACACACAATAAGATGTACTCAATAAAACTCATGAAGAACAAGTTAAAAGCAAGATACTATTGCTTTTTTAGAAAAATTAGATCCTTAAGATGGAAAACTAATAGACATATAACAATAATAAATTAAATTGCAAAGAGGAGGGAATAACTTTTTTTGGGGTAAAGAAATGTAATATATTAATATTATTTTATAAATTATAATATATATAAATATAATCTGGGCAGGGCCAAATGGGCAGGGCAGCATGTCCTGCCCGATGCCTAACCCTGCCCATGAAATGCCCAGCCCAAAGATGTCCATTTTTTTCGGGCTTCTTTTTTTTCAAGCTGGGCAGGGCAATTTTTATTCGGGCTTGGGCGGGCTTAGCTGGCATTTGGGCTTCATACACACCCCTAATCCCTTCAACCAAAAAAAAAGAAGAAAGAAAGAATCATGACACTTAAGGAATGCATGTGAATCAATTTCATGAAACCAAACTGGACTGAGCACTTCTGAATTTTTTGGCTCTTTCAACTCGTGGACGTAGGGATATTTTCATTACTAATATATGAATTGATCTTGTTCTATAATACGGATGTTTAAAGGTATGGACTGAGTTTAATGAGCTGGTTGAGTTCTGTTTGTAACAATTTGCCTCGCCTTTGAAAAAGGGGTCAATTACTCAATTAGGCTTGATCACTTGATCTAAGTGAAATCAGGATGCCCCTTTATGGTTGAAAAAGAAAATTGAGGTCAGTAAACGTATTTTTGGTTTTAATTATTTTAGTTGGATTTAATTGAAATTTTTCTCAATAAAAAGCAATGACCAGTCCTAATGTGATTTGCGAATTCATACCATTAATCTTGACAGATATTCTACTAATTTTTGAGTTCTTAATCTATTTTTTTTAATTAAAAAAAAATCTTTGATCCAGATAATCTTTGATATTCGAAATTTTAAACATCTTTTTAATGTGCCTAAGGTTTTTTGTAACTGCATGAATCTCTAGAAATCATATGTGTGTATTAAAATTTCACGATCTATTAAGAAAATTATAGGGGATTATGTGAGTTAGACGAAATAACTTGCCAAATTTGGATTAATAAAATCTAAACCTACCAGAAAGTGAGATAGTCATATGGCATAATTATGTTTTAGATCATCGTCATTTATTTATTTTTACTAGGTACCAGTATCTTTTTATTGGAGACAATTCTGTTTGAGACACTATCGGGTGTTAAATATTTTTTAGCAAGAATTTAAATATTGATTTGTTACGTTATAACTTATGAGGACTAGTTGTTTTTGTTATATCCATACAGAATGAAATGAACTTAATAAAAAGTTAAGATTAAAAAAAATGTTTTATGCACACGCACACAGCACCGCAGTGAGATTCCAACTCGGAAAAGGAAATAAAACAAGAAGTTTTGGGCCCTTGTTCTGTTTCCCTCCCTCCCTGGCCTTTTCATTTTCCTTACGATTTGTCGCCAAAAAAAAACCACTTTCAGTTTCAGTTAAACCCTGGAGAAGTCCTTTTTTCTCCCTCGGCTGCCTCCTCCATCTGACTCTCTTTCCCCGGCTTCATTTTTCCGTGGTATGTATTAGTGAGCGGGGCTCTATCACTTATTCCGTCACTTCCTCCAGTCGAGAAGTTCCCATAGTAGGGTTCATTGTCCTCGATTCATCCCCGTTATCTGGGACCCTTGGATTTGTTCTTCCTCTGCTCCCCTTTATTGCGGTGTCACGCTTGTTGCCATGGACGTTGAAGGTTCTCGCAAGAGAGGAAGGCCTGAAGCTGCCTCTAGTGGCAATGGCAGCCTTAAGAAATCCAAGACAGGTTTGTGCTTACCTCGGACCTCTTGTATTTTGGTTATTGCCGGAAAATTTCTCCATGTTATGTTCATAATAATGCTTGGATTGCGTTTTCCTTTCGTATGCCTTATGATTGACACGGCTCTGAGTTATGTTGCAAGTAACTGTACGCCATTTTATCTAAATTTATATTTACTGGTGATTATCTTGTTTTGGTGATGCAATCAAGCTTGAAGATTTTTTCCCCCCTAATTTGTAGATAATCAAGCAAGGGAGCATATTGAACAATTGCAGAGACTTCAGCAAAAGGTTAGAAACTTATATGTCTTCCTTTCAAACTAACACCAGTTATATCATCCCATCATTTCCAGATAGTGCTTGCAGTAATGGTTTAATTTTCATGATTTTACTATTTCTTATTTGATCTCAAGTTTCGTCTAAAGACGTTTACTGGTCTTGTATTTGTGGTTGAAGACATAAATTTCTTGAACTTTAGACAGATAAGAAGAATGGCTCTGGTGTTGTTTCCATGCAAACCATTTGGTTAAGAAATTACCTGTCATTCTATGTTTTTACTGGCGTTACTTGTGCCCTGCGGAAGCAAGTACCGTTCTTGCAGATTCTCTTTCGGAAGTATAGTCTGAAGTGCGAGTAAGTTGTCTATGTTGTAACTGAGTCTGGGATATTTGACGAGTTTAGAAATTTCTGCTTCTTTGTCTCATTGCTGTTGATATGGTGGTTCCAGGATTTGTCCTTTAGCAGTCATCCGTATTGTGCACCTATAGCATAATATACAGTTTAAGTTTTCTAGTTTGCCCGTCCAACTTTAGGCATAATGCTGATCGTGTATTGTTGTAAAACCTTTGTGGGGAGTGGGGAATTCACAAACAATACTGATATTTTTTCTAATAGGAATAGATTCATCTGTGGGAGAACTTAGGCTATAGGCTGACAGCTGCTTTAGATTTTGTAATTTCTCTTTTGTCTTATCGAGGTAAGGTAATGCTGAATGGGTTGAATTGCTTTTTCTTTCTTTCCTTATGATAAGATGAATCATATTATTAGCCATTCTGTATCTCTATGATAAACTTTTAGGGTGATGTTACTAATGAATTTTTCATCACAGGACCCAGAATTTTATGAGTTCTTGAAAGAGCATGACAAGGAGCTTCTACAATTTGATGATGATGATGGTGCTGATATTGATGTGAGTATGCAAAATATTTCCTCTTTTGTATATCATTATCTGCTTGACCCATGAATTGTAACACATGAGCCTGTGACATGTTTTCTAATTTAAATTTTAAAACTATTTATATCTGAGTTTTAGTGTCTTTTTATATGCTCGTGGTTCAGTGTTTTCTGGTTTTGTTTTGTCTTAGGATTTTCCACCTTGAAAGTAATCTATAATAGTTCTAGTATGCCCCTGACAACTACTAGGACCAAACACAGAAAGTGCGATTTCAAAGAACAGAGAGGGAAGGACGTCTGTGAACACCTACTGAAAAGTTTATGAAAAACCTTAGAAATTGAGATGCAAATTGAATGTAAGCTGATATTGACTCGAATTCAATTTCAAAGTTAAGCAAAAGCAGAGGAAAGATGGCATTCAATATATGCTTATTCATGTTCAAACTTTAGTTCTTTTTCAAATTCAACTAATCAATTTAAAATTTTTTCAATTAAAGCAATAAATAGCAAATGAAATTTGAAATGTGAAAATTAATAATTAATAATTCTGAAAGACATTATGACTGGTTGAATTACCGCATATTTGGTTATTGCAAATGAAAATAATTATTGAAATTGGAGTGATTCCAAGTACAAATGCTTTTTTCTAAAAGGGCCATTTAATACGCATTTAATTAGGTAGATAATTCCAAATGATTGCATGGAGTGGAACTTAAACTATGGCATCAATGTCAGAGTAGAATCTGGCAATCTGCCCCATCGGTTTTCCCACGTGTAGGCTTGAAATTGGGACAACTGAGCTCTATTACAAGCCCTAAGTTGATTCACTTTTATATATATAACTGATTATATAAGGTTAAACGAAAAATAAAAGAAATGAAAATAAAAAATAAAAAAAGAGCCTACAATGGAATGGCTGATTGGCCAAAGTTGTTAATCACGTGATTCTCAGCTGTGTATTGATTATTTATGGGGTCTTATTGTTGGAATTATATCAAACCTTTCCTTATTTTTTCAGGAAGAATTTGATACTGATCTGGAAGATGGAGGTCTACAGCTAGATGAGAAAGCCAAGAAGCTTGATTTTTCAGAAAAGGAACAAGGACTTAAGAAAGCCTTAACCACTGCTGAGGTTGATTCATGGTGCAAATCGATCCAAGATAATGGGAGCTTAAGTGCAGTTCGATCCCTGATGAAAGCTTTTAGGACTGCATGCCACTATGGTGATGACGGAGGGGGAGAGTCTACAACAAAACTTAGCATCATGTCCAGTAGTGTGTTCAACAAAATAATGCTATTTGTACTGAATGAAATGGATGGGATACTACGAAATTTGTTGAAGCTTCCTTCTTCTGGTGGAAAGAAAGAAACTATACAAGGTCTAATGGCAACAAAGTTATGGAAGAACCGTAACCATTTAGTGAAGTCCTACCTCGGAAATGCCCTCCATGTTTTGAACCAGATGACTGACACAGAAATGATATCCTTTACTTTACGCCGGCTTAAATATTCTTCCTTGTTTTTGGCTGCTTTTCCTACCCTCTTAAGGAAATACATTAAGGTATGAACTAAGCACTGTTTGTCTGCTTAATGTTCTTTATAGTATTCTTTCACATAACCATCCAGCATCATTGCACTGTTTCTGTGAAGTTACATTGCATATGTTTTGCACAGTAATTAACTATATTCTAAAGTAAATTAAATTAATGATGTAGTTTTTCAAAGATTACTTTCAATTTGGTCCTCGAGATTTTCTCCTTATCAAAACGGTCCCTTCATCAAGCAATCACTTAATGCATGGGATCCTAAGTTGTTAACTCATAACCTAGATTTCGTTTGTGCAAAACTGCTTCCCTAAATGGCACAGTTTTTATAGTCGTTTTACTTTGTGGTATTTAGTTAAATGAAATCATCCTGGGGGAAATTGCCACTAGAGCAAGTCCATGTGAATTATTGACTACATCTGCTCCAACAGAGGGACCATTTTGATTGTGGTGAAATTTTTTGACTACTCGGCTTTATCTCTGGAGGGCTATGTTGAGAAGAGAGAGGTTTTTAGTTACTAAATCACTGATGTTCTCTTATATTATATACATCATATGCACAAAATCAACCCCCTAAACTGATCTTAATAATTTTGAGAAAGTCCCTCCTTTTGATTATACATATAATTTTCATACACTGGAATTTTTTGGGGGATATGAGCCTGGGATTTTATGGCACATTGTTTCCCTGCATAAGCAAGATCGAAAATGATAGTATCATCATGATTACACTGTTACATATGATTCTTTTTCCAATAAGTATGTGCTTCTCTTATGTTGCATGTGATGGCAATGTGACAATAATTACCTTGGGCATTTGGCATTATATTTCTCACCCATTATTGATGTAATGACTTGTTTTCCGGATGATCTACCAGGTAGCCCTTCATTTCTGGGGGACAGGGGGTGGCGCCCTTCCAATTGTTTCATTTCTATTTTTGAGGGATTTATGCATCCGTATTGGATCTGATTGCATAGATGATTGCTTCAAAGGAATGTACAAAGCCTATGTTTTGAACTGCCAATTTGTAAATGCAGTGAAACTTCAACACATCCATTTTCTTCGGAATTGCGTCATTGAACTTTTAGGTGTGGACCTTGCAGCTGCTTATCAACATGCCTTTGTTTTTATCCGGCAGTTGGCTATGATTTTAAGAGACGCTCTAAACACAAAAACTAAGGTACTGTAAACATTTAGTTACATACGTCATGTTATTCACTGTATGACTAGTCTTGTGATGCTTCATTTATGGAATTCCTTGAACTAGTCAGTTTTTGATTGAGTAGTGCCATTTCATCTCTTCTTGATATCATTTTTCATGTATTGCCTGCTATGCTCCCTTCAGCACCTTTTAATTTTTGAATCTTGATTGGTACTTGTGTCAAGGCTGCAATCTTTTGCCATGTCTCTTCATCAAAACATGATAATTTTTCTTGGGTACCTAACTGTGATAAGTAATTTGTGATCAAAATGATTGTACATGTTTTTATCTTGATATATTAGTAGTACTCATTTAGCTCATCACCTGAAATTTATTCTTTAGGAAGCATTCCGCAAAGTGTATGAATGGAAATTTATGAACTGTCTTGAACTCTGGACTGGTGCTATTTGTGCCTACAACTCAGAGTCTGACTTAAAGCAACTCGCGTACCCTTTGACCCAAATAATATCTGGGGTGGCCCGTCTAGTCCCCACAGCCAGATATTTTCCCCTTAGATTGAGATGCATCAGCATGCTAAACCGTATTGCAGCTTCGACAAATTCCTTTATCCCAGTGTCCATTCTTCTTTTGGACATGTTGGAGATGAAAGAATTGAATAGGCCCCCAACAGGAGGCGTTGGCAAAGCTATTGACTTGCGAAGTATACTGAAGGTAACGATGAGCACTAGGTTTTCGTTGAACAACTTTTTTCTCAGTCTCATCCTTGTCATCTCCATCAAACTTTTGAGATCTCTAATGTATCAGGTTAGCAAGCCAAGCCTGAAGACTAGAGCATTTCAAGAGGCATGTGTTTCTTCTGTAGTTGAAGAGCTTGCTGAACACTTAGCACAATGGAGTTATTCTGTTGCATTTATGGAATTGTCTTTTATTCCTCTCGTGAGGTTGCGCAGTTTTTGTAAATTGACAAAAGTTGAGAGGTTTCGGAAAGAAATGAGGTTGCTTATTCGCCAGGTATCTATGTGAAAAACTGTCATAAAATGCAACGATACTTTTCAGATGTGCTTACATAAATTTGCATTCGTCTAAGCCCGAGTAATATGTCTCTAATTTTGCATTTCCCTACCTCCAGATTGAGGCTAATTCTGACTTTGTGAATGCAAAGCGCATGTCAGTTTCCTTTTTACCTAATGACCTTGCAGCAGCATCCTTTCTTCAGGTTTGCATTCCTTAACTTTTGTGGCCCTTGAGTTTCATTTGTTTTCTTGGTGAGTGCTTTTTTACTTCTCTAGTTCATTAACTTGTTTAGTATTTCCAGTTTCTAATATAGGAGCTAGCTGACTAATTTGAGTAGATTAAGGGAATTAATTAAGTTAGTTATTTGTAATAAATAGGTGTTATTTTTCTTAGAATACTCTTGCTAACCATGTTTATTAGTTAGAACTATCATTTGATTGAATCTTTAACATATGCAATTATATCAAGGACTAACTTGGGAAAAATAGATAGATATGAGAGATAAAGTGGATTGAGGTCTTATATTTAGGATTAAATTAAAAGTCAAACTAACTGTTATATTAAGTAGCAGAGGTAGTATTTTTTAGCTGTTTTTCACTCGGTTATTCTTCAGTGTTCTATATTCTATTTGCTCTTGAAATTGCATGCGCAAAAATATAACAGAACTTTTTTCAATCTGGCAAAATTTTCATCTACCACAGCCATTACCCTGCATCCCTTTTTTAAATTTGGTAACTGCATCCCTTTTTCTCTGAACGCTCAATTTTAGTGTACTTAAAGTAAGACAGCTCTTTGGGTGGTTTATGCAATCTCTGGTAGATGATTGAAAAGTGTAAATTTTCATAGGATGAGAAGGAGACTGCTGTCAGCCCTCTGTCCAAGTATGTTGTAACTCTCCGCCAGAGAGCAGAGAAAAAGAATGCTTCATTGACAGATTACAGGTTCACAATCCTGTTCGGTCTCATGTATTACGGTGTTCAACATGTAATTCTGTTTATAATAGCTCGCTAACATGATGAGAATTTCCAGTGTTCTTGTTGGGGAAGAGTCCGCTGTTTTTGGTCGTAACATACCAGAAAGTGATGAAGATGATGATGATGCCAGAAAGAATGAGGAAGGTGCTTCTGTCTTCAATTCGTCTTGGTTACCTGGAAAAGGCTCCAAGTATGACTCTCAATTTTGCCTCAACTCTCTGACTAATGAACATGGCTGCACTAACAACAAGCATTTACATATTTCAAGAATTTTTCACGTACCTTGTACAGTTGTACTTTTGTCTCAGAATTGCTTTTGCTTGCAGGGTAAAAAATCCTACAGAAACAAAGAAAAAGAAGAAGCAGCAGCAAAAACAGGTAGCAACTGATGAAGATGTGGTTGAGGACTTGGTACTCAGTTCTGATGAGGATGATGATTTTCCTAATGAGAGCCTTTCTGAGGGAGAAAATGATGATGCAGACGAAGTACCTCCAAAGCAGAAAAGCAAGAAGCAGAGAACAAAAAGATCAAAACAAAAGAAATCTCCTGGCAAGACTAGAAACAGGTAGAGATCTATTTGGAGACATCGCTTTTCTTTACTCAGTCGGCTTTGGGAAAAATGAGAGTTGCTTAACAATTTTGTAGTTTCAGTAGTCTCTTCAGATTTATGACCAATACAAAGAATAGGCTTCTGTTTGAGACATGGGGCTCCTGTATATTTAAATTTATGCCGCGGTTACATGTACAAGTAAATGTAATTCTGGAATCCTGGGAATAAACCTGAAATATGAATTTGTGTTTGTAGTAAAATATATTTATTTTTACGTATTAAATTGTTTTGTATTGCTAATTATAAATTTAATTTAATTTAATTTTGAAAAGGTGCTTATTTCTGTTCTAGTCGGATATAGGATATTTTTTTTATTATCACTGTCAGTATATAATATAAATCTGTTCATAGTTATGAATGATGTGTCTCATTTTAACGAGGAACAAAAAACTGGACCAAAAACGGGTCAAGGGTTAATGGGTCGGATGAGAATCAAGTTGGGATCAAACTAGTTGTATTAAAATAATATAATTAATTAACAATAACAAAATAAAATAATACTCAAAAATAATAATCACTCAACAAAACATAAAAACGAAAAAAATAGCTTCAATATTCAGACATTATAGTTTTTTGTTTTCTCTCTTTCTATAGTCGGATTGCACTTTCAAAGGTTTGTGAAAATGAAATTAGTAGAGTTCTATTATGTTCTTCAACAAGCTATTACAAACACCCTCTGTTTAAAAAAAAAAAAAGATAGGAAATATCGTACTAACTGATATGCTAACTAGTCTGATACTTTTGTGCTTGAAGAATTTGTTGAGATAAAGGATAACAGCGAAAACCTCTTGGAATTTTCTTCGTTGGCTTGCTTCATTCGAACTTATCCCTACTATTCTGCACCTAATCCATATATCTATAGAACAAAGCCTATTATTCTCTCTCATGAGCAAGAACATATACTTGTTGCTGAAATCTTACAAAAATGGCACCTGAAAGCACCAAAATCGCAGAGATGGTTTGCTATTTCACAAGTAGGAGAAAGTGGAATCTGAGCCTGCAACCGTGAAGAATGTCCGAACTTGTGACTGGGATTAAAGAACAGAACAGCCGAGTTGTGAGTTGCAACTGTGAAGATTGAAGGTTGAAGATTGCCACTGACAAAGCAGAAATATCCGGCCAGCAATTGAAGGATTGAGGCAACAAAGTGAAGTTTGATGATTGAAGACGAGAGGTTGCCGCCAAGATGCTAGGGATTTCAAATTTTGGGAGGGAAAGAGAACACATCGAACAACTGAATGAACAGTTGAGGAGAGGCTGCCATTCGACTTTGACTGTTTTTTTATTGAAATTGCACGACGTCGTTTTTGTGGTGTGAAAGATTAAAAAAATTAAACGGGTAACCTCCTTCAACCAACAGGTGACCCGGCTTATACTAGTTTTTTATCAGTTTGATCCTGTGCTGGTTTAGGATTTAAACCAAACCGAACTACAGACTGGTTCATCAGTTTTTCAGTTAAACTGGCCGGTTCGGTTTAGTTTTTTTTTTCATTGCAAATTAATAAGTATATTAATATGTAGTTAAATTTTGTCTCAGAAAAAAGTTGGTGGACCAATATGGTTTTGAAGATTAAATTTTTATTAGTGGCTTTGGTGATTTCATGTTTGAGGAGATTTCCCATTTTTCCCCTCAGTGAAACGTGAGAGATTAACGTAGTTGATCAAAACTGGTCGCTGGCAAAAGTTTAAAAAAAAAGGTTGATCAAAACTGATGATTCGGGCTTGTTGGAGTGGTTTATGCCACCTCAAGTGCTTAATAGCTTTTATTTAAAACCTAATTGACTAATTTAGATAGATTAAAGTTAGTTAAGTTAGTTATTTGTAATAAATAGGTATTATTTTTTTAAAATATTATTTTTAATTATATGTATTGGTTAGAACTAATTTATGCAACTATTATAATGACTATTTTTTTTAAAAAAGAAGATAAATATGAAATACAAAGTAAATTGAGATTTTATATTTAGAATTAAATTGAATGTTAAAATAACTCGTATTAAAGACCAGAAGTAATTGAAGGTAGTATTAAGTGCTTATAAGCATGTACACATATGGAAGTGTTTGAGTGAAAATTAAATCATGGTTTTAAAAGTAATTTTACAATATACAAAATAAGTACGTGAAAAGAGTTTTATTTTCATTTATGTGAAAATACTTTTTAAAAGTGTTTTTTAGGTTAGCCAAACACTTTCTAAGTCAAGATTTATTATTTTGTAAATGATGAAAATAACAATGATCAGGGTTTAAATTTACGAGAATATGGATTATAAATGTAAAGGGGCATTTGATTCAAAATTGTATAATTATCTGCAAAGAGATTATATCTATCCAGTTTGGTAATCCGGCAATAAAAATGTGGAAGTTACGTGAATATTGATTTTTTTTTCCTCTTGAAAAATGAAAAACGACGGAAGGAGTGGCGTCCAAGAGTGAGAAGCCTGCACTTTCTTGTGGGAAAATGACAATTTAATGCTCTCTAAACTTCGAAATTAACACTTTCGTCGCAAGGTATTTACACGTGTTTGTGTAGAAGCAGTTGACCAAAATATCCTCATGCCTTTAATATATAATGGAACTATGGAAGGCTCGAATGGAGATTATTTAAAAATAAAATTTGATATTATATTCCTTCTTAATTCAAATCAATAATAAAATAAATTGAACGTTGCAATTATTTTTAGTTAAAAAAATTATTTTTTAAAATTACTATAGATCTATAAAAAAATATTAATAAACCTAAAAAATTATAGATCAATTGTGAAATTTGAAAGCCATATTAGAAGGATCTGTTGAAAACAATTGAAAATCTCATTTGGGAGACATTTAAAAATTAAAAATGTAATTTAGTGCTGTAGTTATTCTTAATTAGATCAATGTGTAAAGAAATTTAATGTTGTAATTTATTTTTAATTAAAATTCATATTCAATTTAAAAAATTATTATTAATATTTGAGAAAATTACTGTTAATTTCTTAACAATTCTAGTTAATGAATTATGAAATTGGGAGGAGTCATAAGTATCATAATAATTAATTAGAAATGATGAGATACTCGATATCATTTAAAATTTAATGTTAGTATTATAATTATTTTTAATTAAAATCAATATAATATTTTAAAATTATTATTAGTTATAAAAGTTGGAGAAGAAAAGGATGGAGAAAAACTAGTGTATTGTATTAATTAATTAGATACGGAACCTATACAACTCTATTTTGTCATACTTTCATCCAACACGGTAGCTATTTCCTTGCCCATCTCAATGTTTTCTTCCCAGTGATCATTTTTTTTTTTTTTGTGATGAATTTTAGAAAGGGGTTAGGTTCATCCATGATCTAAGAGCAGGAAAACTAACTCCTAACCTAGCCCTACCTACCAAGAAAAGACTTATACGAGGAATCACCACATGTTATGAACTGAGCGCTTGACTTCGAATATGTCTCTGCAACCGTCATAAGGATCTTAGGAATTGAGTCCCCTCTCTTTAATGAGAGCATCTAACCCTTTGACTGCTAAACCCATGATTCCATGGTTCCCAGTGATCGATGTTTTGTATGTGTAAACACACACAAACGTACAAAATCTATAGATTCAAATAGTATTATTTATAAATTATGAACATGCAACTTATTTTGAAGTCCGCTCAAATTTAAATTAAAGCATGAGCGATCACAAATGTAATTCAATTTCTGGGCATAAGATGGCCATTATTGTGCTATTAATTAGTTAATTAGGCTTGATGGCCAAGAAAAAAGGAAATTAGTTAATTAGGCTGAGAAAACTATCTAAAAAGTTGCTGGGCATGCTAACAAATTAATTAAATTAGTAGGCATCAAGAGAGTTAGACAATAAATGTTACTCCTCCGGTCCTAATTATAAGACCCAATTGACTTATTTGAGGAGATTAAGGAAGTAAATTAAGTTGGTTATTTATAATAAATAAGTGTTGTTATTCCTAAAATATCCTTGCTAATTAAGTATATTGGTTAAAACTATAATTATTAGAAGGATTATCTTGGAAAAAAATGCATAAATATAAAAGATAAAATGAATTAGGTCTTATAATTAGGACCAAATAAAAAGTCAAATTGGGTCTTATGATAAGGACCGGAGGAGTATGATGCTGCCCATTTAGAAAACACCAAGGCAATCAGTGAATTTTCTTTAATTCGGATCAAAGGTTCTATGTGTGTCTGTGTATTGTTGACATGCAGCTTAATATTCTTAATGCATTCCATTGGAGTCTAATCCAATACCTTAACTAAAACCAACGTTAATTTCAGTCATTCATGCATGTGTATGTGATGTGTCTCCTATCCTGTATGAAATTATCAAGGTTTATATATATATATATATATATATATATATATTATTGAGTTGTTGTAGTGTTTGGTTTATTTCGGTTTGGGCCTAGGAGTTACTTAGTTGAGCCCATCTGATGTGTAGGTCTATATATATGGACAAGGCCTGTTGTTATATGATGAATTTTTTCAGTGAATGAGAATATAATTCAGCATGCTGTGTGTAACTCTGATAGCTAATATGGCATCAGAGCTCGGGTCAGTCAAGATCTGTTAATACCAGTTGAGAAGGGCCCAGCAGCCGGAACCCGTATTCTTCCAAATCCCTCATCTTTGACTGCGATTCAAGAATGAACTGGTAAACCACAGACGAAGACACCCACGCAATCTTTCAGTCATCCCTGATCCAAGAATCATATCACGATTAGAGTCCCGTGAGTTCTGATTTGACGATGACGAGAACCGTGGGAGAAGCAAAAGGCTCCGATGACGAAACAATTGATTTCGGGAGCCCGCTCTACCTCCATCCTTCGGATACGCAGGGCGCGTTGATCATTACCCAAGTGTTAATGGGAAGTGAGAATTATGCGATTTGGAGTAAGGCAATGTTAATTGCACTTTGAGGTAAGAACAAGACCGGCTTCATAGATGGATCTTGCAAAAAGATTGAACAAGATTCGCGTCTCAAAGAACACTGGGAGAGGTGTAATGCCGTGGTGTTCTCCTAGATTTTAAACTCGGTTTCCAAAGACCTTGCGAACAGTCTCATATATCTACAAGATGCACGGACGGCTTGGGAGGACTTGCGAGAGCGATTCAACAAGGTATCTGGGTCAAGGATATTTTCTTTGCACCGTGAGATTAATTCCTTACGTCAAGGCAATCTTTCGGTATCTGCATATTATTCGTGCCTCAAAGAGCTATGGGAAGAACAAAGTAACCTCATAGCAATTCCTTCCTGTACATGCAACACTTCTAAACTGTATAGTGAAGCTATGCAAAGGCAAAAAATGTTACAATTTCTGATGGGACCTGAACTTGAGATGCTTCTGTGATTCAGATTGGGGATCATGCAAGACCACGAGTAGGTCAGTCACTGGTTATCTTCTCAAGTTAGGAGACACCCTCATTATCTGGAAAACCAAGAAGCAGGCAACAGTCTCAAGGTCCTCGGCTGAAGCTGAGTATAGGGCCCTTGGTTCAACCGTGTCAGAAGTTGTTTGGGTTAGAGGTCTGTTATCTGATTTAAAGATTCCTATAGAAGGTCCAGTTGATGTGTATTGTGACAGCAAATCAGCCATCCACATTGCCACAAATCCAGTGTTCCACGAGAGAACAAAACATATAGAGATCGATTACCACTTTGTTCGTGAGAAAGTGACAGAAGGGATAGTGAAGCTTCAGCATGTTTGTTCTGCTGATCAAGAAGCAGACATATTAACAAAGCCAGTAGGAAAAGAGACTCAATTACGGTTGCTTAGCAAGTTAGGAGCTTCCAATGTATTTAGCCCCAAACTTGAGGGGGAGTATTGAGTTGTTGTAGTGTTTGGTTTATTTCGGTTTGGGCCTAGGAGTTACTTAGTTGAGCCCATCTGATGTGTAGGTCTATATATATGGACAAGGCCTATTGTTATATGATGAATTTTTTCAGTGAATGAGAATATAATTCAGCATGCTGCGTGTAACTCTGACAGCTAATATAGATAACGAGGGTATATAACTATGAGACACTTGCAATAGCAAGAAGACATTCACAGAAATTCAATCTCATAAGTGGTAGAAAACCACCCCACCAAGTATATTTATATATATGTTTAATGCATAATGTGTTAAATGAGTCTTATATTAAAGATCGGAGGAGTATATGTTTAATGCATAATGTGTTACATTGTCCGAAACGAATCTGAGATAGATAGATGCATGCATGAACAGCGCTCACTTTTAGAACGACCACTCTTTAATTTGTGTCATAATGTATCTAGACGAACATCATGGATTCACCATGCTAAAGTACTATCTTTATTTTTATTGTTTTTTAAACTATGTATATAAGTTCATATATAGTACAGAATATGGTACTACCATACGTATATAAGACCCGTCCAAAAGACACCACCCCCTAAGAAAGCAATAAACCAGAATAATTTATGTATATATAGAACCCTAAAGAAGATCGTCATACTATATTGTATTGAGATTTGGTTGGGGCCGGCCATTTCTCATTAGCTTCGCAGAACCACACGCACGTTGTCTGCTTTCATTTTGTAATGTAAGATTCTGGCACAGATCGATCTTAGTGAGGAAGCAAGAAGAGAGAGAGAGTTATTGTATGTTATGATTAATTTGAGAATATTGTTCACAGAGAAATCACATGGACACTTGCATGGAGGTGCCGTAGCAGAGAGAGACAAATGGGGCAATATGAGAGAGACCAGGTGACACATTATTAACTCATATGTTTGTGCTCCAGCAAGCAAACCTGGATCCCATTTACGCCCCTGTTAGGGTTTCCATGTGCACCCAGAAATAAACTACATATGTATCAGCAATATATTTATATATATGTATATATATTTATTTATATATATATATATATCATTGGCCAGCTATGTTGATGTGCTTTTTTAAGGTAATGATCAAAGGGTTTGAATTAGGGGGGATGAAGATGCTGTTTGGTGTTGGCATGTCTCGAGGGTCTACCTCTCTAGCTATGATGTGTCTGTGTTTACACACACACACACGGAGATTTTTTTTTTTTAATTTGGTCAAAAAAAGTTGGTTTTCGGATGGACAAAACTAAATAAATAAATGGATATATATGGTGAGCTCACGGACAAATTCTTGTATGACTGTTTGATTAGAAACTTTGGTTTTTTTATTTTCGAGTCAACTTTTGTACAATTATATATATATATATATATATATATATATATATAACGTGAGAAATAGAAAAGTGAACTAAATGAGAGATATATTATACTCTTCCGGTCCTAAATATAAGACCCTTATACACACTTATATAAGGGTCTTATATTTAGGACCTGAGAAGTACTTATTGAAGGACTAGTGAAGCTTTATCTTTGACAAATCCAAATCGTTCATTAATTAATTAACTGGTACAGCGTTATACTTAATTAGTTTTCATAAAAGTAAAATATTATAAGGTGTCACACATTCTCAGACACAAATATATATATTCAACCAACAAGGTTGGTGTAAAGATTGTAATCGATTTTATTGAAATATCCTCCAGGAATAATCAAAATAAAATCATGCATTTTTTTGGGTCAAAATTAATGAAAATAAAATATATTTTTAATTCTTGTATATATAAATAAAGAAAAGAACTTGTTGCAAAGTGAGCCTGGGTGTGTGTGTGTGTAGGTAGCCAAGTAAGATTGATATGCTTCTGTCTGAGCTAACATGGGAAATGTTTCTATAGTTTTGTTCTCTTTTTTTCTTTTTTGGATTATGAATTAACTAGTGATTAATTGCACATCCAATCACAGGACATTATAGCGGGAATTAAGTATACTGATGATTACTCTTATAGTCTTATTATATACTTCTCCGGTCCTTATTATAAGACCCAATTTGACTTTTTATTTGGTCCTAATTATAAGACCCAATCCATTTTGTCTCTTATATTTATGCATTTTTTTCCAAGATAATCCTTCTAATAATAATAGTTTTAGCCAATATACTTAATTAGCAAGGATATTTTAGGAATGACAACACTTATTTATTATAAATAACCAACTTAACTTACTTCCTTAATTTCCTCAAATAAGTCAATTGGGTCTTATAATTAGGACCGGAGGAGTATTTTGTTAAGGGCAAGGAAAGTACGCTTTTTCTAACATTATAGGCTTCACAAACACTAAATTTGGCAATTTATTGTGTTAATATGTTTTGTCAATAGTTTTTTTTTTTTAGCATTCTTTTCATTGGAGTTAAAATCGATCTGATTTTCTAAAATCCATTCCGACCGGATTGATCCAGTGTAATTTTTTCAGGTTACTACTCAACAGCAGTTTAACTGCAGCCTCCAGTTTAATCCGAGTCAACCGTAAATTTGGCATGGTTTTTAAAACACCGCTCCTAAGACAAAAGGTGAATTAAAAGAGTGAATAATCATTCTGGGTTTGTTTGCTACAGACAATAATAACAATGCTATCTCTGGTCTTTAGTATAAGAGTTAGTTAAATAATTTGAGTAGATTCAAAAAATTAGTTAATTATTTGTAATAAATAGATACTATCCTCCCTAAAATATCATTTCTAATCGTATGTATTAGGTAGAACTACTATCTGATGAAACTTTTAACATGTATAACCACTATAAGGACTAACTTGAAAAAAATAGATAAATATGAAAGACAAAATGAAGTAGAGTCTTATATTTAAGACCAAATTAAATATCAAACTAGCTTTTACATTAAGAATCAAAAATAGTATATAATTATTTAAATCCAGTATGAAAGCAATATATTTAATTATATAATTGCTTTGTAAATCTCCAGGAAAAAGCTTACCTAAAATATCCATATGGCCAACAAATATAAGATTAGATGCAATCTATTAGAATATGTATTCTATTTTGTTTCTTTCAACCCATCACCTTCATACGATGGATCCATGTGTCTTTGCTTCTTCTTCTTCTTCTTTTCCAAATTCTCATTTCTCTTTGAAAAAACCAAAGGAAGCCAGTTAACAAGCGAAAAATGACACGAAGAACATAACGACATTAATTATAATTAGCCTGGGGAACGATATGTGGCCATGTTCATGTCCCAATAATTAATAAATCATTTTGATTGGATTGTCACATATTATCATATTATTTTTAGTGCACAGAGCCAGTTGGAACGACACATGACCCACCGTGCTCCAGCCAGCTTCCTTTGATTCCCCCTTTAGCTTCCTATATAAACGCAGAGATCTCAGCCAAACAATTCATCTTCATCAGTTTCATTTCATTGATACCAAAACCAAAATCTTCTCAACTTTAAAAACATCCTTAAAGTCTCAGACGATCACCAATGGCTTTCTGGTCTGCAGAAAACGCCACAAAGGCCTATCTCACTACTCTGAAAATGGTAAGCACACACATATATATTCATATTCTCTTACTTTTATACATATGATTAATCGATCCATGTTTCTGATATGATGTTGGGTTTGTTTTATCTCTCAGGGACAAAGAGCCAAAGAGCCAGACGTGGCTGAGTTCATATCAGCATTAGCCGCCGGCAACAACGCACAACTAATGGTGGTGGCGTGCGGCGGCGCGTTGGGCTCCACGACGCAGGCCTTAGTGGCGGCCAGCCACCAAACGGGAGGTCGTGTAATCTGCACTGTTCGAAATCTCGAACACCTAAACGCGTACAAGAAATCAATGGGCATCTCAGAATTACGTCAAGTTGAGTTCGTGATCGGAGAGCCTCAAGAACTGTTAACAACCCAATACGACGTGGCAGATTTCGTACTCGTAGATTGTAAGATGGAGAACTACGAGGAGGTTCTGAGAGCTGTGGATAGAGTGAGAGGGAGGAAACAAAACGGCACGGTGGTTGTGGGGTATAATGCTTTTAGGAGCAGAGGGTCGTTTGGGTCCAAAACGCAGTTTCTTCCAATAGGAGAAGGCTTGTTGGTGACTAAATTTACTGGGAGAAATAATAATAATAATAGTAACAATAATAATATGGGGATGAAGGTGAGAAGAAGCAGGTGGATAGTGAAGGTGGATAAATGCACTGGGGAAGAACATGTGTTTAGGGTTAGGTTTCCCCAAGGAAAAGTCATTCATGCTTGATTTTTCATTAAATTAAGTTAGGGTTTTTGGGTCAATTATATTCGTTTTGGTGTTGTTTAGGGGATGATATAGCTTAGAGTTGTTAGTAGCTTTGCTTGTGATGAGAAACACTAGGTAGGAGCCCCTCTCTTCTGCAAGATGTATATATAGCAAGCAATACGTATATATATAAGATCTTGGTGTATTGCGTATTTGGAGCGTAATTAGCAAGTTCAATTTTTTTTTTCCTTTGAGCTAAAGGCTTGATCTGATCTTTGTGAGCCTAAAATCTAATTTATGTATTTTTTTTAAAAAAAGAAATGTTAGTAAAGAAAGAGATGCAAATTAAATTTTAGGATTAATTTTTGTTTGGCCTATGATGGAAAAAAGTGCAAAAAGATGTGGGAAGATCGAAAGCATTAGTTTTGAAAAAAAATTAATTTTTTTATCTTTATAATTTTGATTTTGTTATAAATCGATCCCTCTACTTATACCTGGTGTAACTCATTTTTTATGTATGGTTTTTACTCAAGTTTAATTGAATTCTTGAATATCGGTTTCAAACGATTTTGAGTCAGAATTTGAAGAAATTATAAGGATTAAAAGGTTAATCTGATTCAACTAAAAAAAAAAAAAAGATTAACTTGATATAAATTTTAAGATTGAGTTCATAATGAAATCAAAGAAGAAACTAGTGAAAGAAATCAATGATATTTGTGAATACGAATTCTAACTTTCAAGTTTAATACTGTAATTTCTACATTCCATGAGTATAGTAATAGCCAGGCATGTGCCTGATGAGTTCAAAGTAAGAGAATGATCATAAAATAACACTTTTTTTGCCTGACCAAACGCAGAAAGCTCCTTAAAGTAACAAGCGAAGGTAGCTGCATGTATATATTATGAATCAGCTTGGGCATATTAATATAATAATAATGAAGAAAGAAGAAGAGTAGTGATACTGATAATGCGATTCAAAATGCAGATCAATTCAGACTTGACCAGTTGCTCAAAATGATAGCATAGGATTCCCGCTTCAGTGGGAAACATCAGGTTAAAAAGCTGTGCAAGGAAGCAGTGAGTGAGGTACAGAGGCCAGGCTGTGATATGTAAAATAAATTAGTACTAAGGTAGACAGTATGTACTACGTGAGGTCCAAGGTTTGTTGTTTGGTTAGTTAGAGAGCTCCGATCCATTATTAATGAATTAAAACATGGCTTCATGTGATTTTGTCTCCAAGATTATTTATACCAAATCCTTCCATATAAAGCTGCCCAACCCACATTGTTATATCATACTATCATACTATAGTCCTAACGTTAATCATAATAATGGCCAGCTTCATGAGCATTAGGCTACAGAGCGAACGACGTTGGTGGTGCATATAAATCAATCACACTCGCTCACTCTCATTAACATGTGACTTTCCTCAAAATAGCTTTCCAGATTTCAGCAAATCATGTGTTTTCCGATTCTTAATAGAAGAAATAGGTAACTAATATATGAATATTAAGAAAATTAATTAAGATCATAGGCACATTGCCTTGCAAGTTTATTTTCACGCCATTAGTCTTCATTAAGTTTAATTGTTGAATTATGTGGTTTGACTAATACTTTAATTGGTCAAACTTCTAGGGCATCTAAAAGTAAGGAAAAAAAAACTTTCAAATGCTGGGTATTCTTTTTTTTTTTGGTAACAACGAGGGCAAAGCCCAACTAAAAATTAAAACAGAAGGGGATTAAATCCCAGTAAATCTTGTTCCATAATTGTCCGTAAATGTTGCGAACATCGATCTAAGATAGCTGAATAAGAGAGACTTTCCTTTGATAACGCATCAGCAAGAGAGTTTTTGTCTCTAGAGATGTATCTCAACTGCAAGTCCCAATCAAGAGTCTTCATGTCCCTGATCTGCATAAACACCAAGCTACAAGAGCCAGATATAGAATTGCTCAATAGCATGTCAATTAATGTTTTGGAGTCAGATTCAAGAATTATTTTCTTCAATCCCCTCTCCCAAGCTATAGAGAGACCTTTAAGTATTGCCCATTCCTCAACTTCTAAAGCATCACATATTCCTAATCCATGTGTAAAACCTGTTATCCATTCACCATTGTGATTTCTAAAGACACCCCCACATCCAGCTACATGTCTAGTTGAAGACACAGCACCATCAACATTGATTTTAATCCAATCAGTCGGAGGTGGTTCCCAAGTTGCTGCCTCATTAGTAGCAGATAAGCTACCAACTGAAGCTAAATCAGTAGCTTCTACAAAGGATTTCCAAGATTTCAAAATCATATCCGCAGGATTTGTTGGCCTTTGGAAATCATCATTAAAAATAGAACAATTCCTCCAGGTCCAAAGCCTCCATATGGACACGCCCCAAATTTGGTTCCAACAAACAGGCAAACTATTTCCCAATTCTCTTTTCAAATTTAAAGCCATCCAGTCACGCAAAGAAGCATTAAAGAATTGGGAAATATACCTAGGATTTAAGATTTTCATCCAGAGACGCTTTGCATAGATACAATCACGAAGAATGTGAAGTACATCTTCCAATCCAGAGTTGCAATAGGTACATGAAGGAGAAGTTTGACTCCATTTGCTTCGCCAAACATTTGTTGGAAGTCTATTGTTGAAAGTGATCCACATAAAGACGCGAATTCTTTCAGCTCCCTTCCATTTCCAAATAGCCTTATAAACTTGGTTATACATATGCTATGGGCATTTTTCAATCAAAAAGTAGCAACTTTTGATTGTAAAATTGCCATGGGAAGTAGCACTCCAGGTCATAATATCACCTCCAACATTAGGTAAGGGTGGTAGCAAGGAAATAAGCCGATGAATAACCTCACTTTTCACAACTTCAGCAAGTTTAGAAAAATCCCAGGTTCCATGAGTAACCCATTCAGCAACAGTACTATTTTCCTCTTCTCTCGTAAGAGTCTTGAGACACATATCTTTAATCCTTTTCCCTTTAAGAAGCCAAATATCATTGAAGAAATTCACAAATTCACCATTCCTGATTTGCCATTTGGTACCTTTTTCAATAACATCACGTTGCTGGCATATAAAATGCCACAAGTCAGAATCAGAAGATTGAGAATGCAAAAGATTAACATCATTTCTCATCATATACTTCTTGTATAAAACATCAGCCCACAATCCCTTGGATCCAGTAAGAAGGTTCCAAGCCAATTTTGCTCCACAAGCTCTGTTTATAGAGGAAAGTCTTTTAAAACCAAGCCCACCATAACACCTAGGAAGAATAATCTGACCCCAATTTATTGGATGAAAACCAGAACCATTCTCACTTTTCCCCCATATGAAGTTCCTTTGTAATTTCTCAATTTCGTTACAAATACTCACAGGTATTCTTGCTACTTGCATTGGATAAAGAGGCACTGTACTAAGTACCGATTTTGCTAGGGTGATCCTTCCAGCTATTGAAAGACTAGTAGCTTTCCAATTTGCAAGTTTAGATTTAACCTTATCAACAATATACTAAAAGGTCTCTTTAGGCTTCCTTTTTCTGGTAAGAGGGAAACCTAAGTGTTTACCAATCTTGTCAGAGACTTTCATATCTGTGATATCATGGATTTTCCTCTCCAAATCTGTCGAAACCCTTGGGGAGAAGAAGATAGAGGATTTGTTTTTGTTCACTTTTTCTCCAGAAGCTTTGCAAAAAACATCCAAACATCTCATCATACAATCAGCCTGTTTCTCAGAAGCTTCTCCAAACAAAAGAAGGTCATCGGCAAACATCAAATGAGAAACTGCAGGTCCCTCTTTTGTAACTAAAATAGGTTTCCATTTTTCGGCTGCCACTACATCACTTATAATATGGGATAATTTGTCCATACAGAGCACAAATAGAAACGGTGAAATTGGATCACCTTGTCTGCATCCCCTTTTTGGGACAAAGTATTCAGTTTGAGAACCATTCCACAACACATTATATGAGGCAGAAAAGATACAACTCATAATTAAGTTGATAAATTTACCATCCATTCCTGTCTCAAGAAGCACTTGCTGTAAGAAGTCCCAATTAATCTGATCGTAAGCTTTCTCTAAATCAATTTTTAGTGACATAAAACCCTTTTTACCTCTAGCTTTCTTCATAGTATGGATGAGCTCCTGGCCCACAACAATGTTATCTTGAATATGTCTCCCACTAATAAAGCTGGCTTGAAAGGGAGAAATAAGATCATCCATGAGGTTCTTCAAACGGTGAGTAATCACTTTAGTAATGCATTTGTAATGAACAGAACAAAGAGAAATAGGTCTAAAATAACTAACTAATTCAGGATTTTCCCTCTTAGGAATAAGGGAGATTAACGTTTTGTTTGCCTCAGCAATAGAAATTCTTCCTTCAAACACATCCTTTACAAATTTGCACACAGAGTTTCCCATTGTATTCCAATTAGCTTGGAAAAAGATAGGGGAAAACCATCATAACTAGGAGCTTTATAAGATCCCATTGAGAAAATAGCATGTTTTATTTCCTCATTCGAGGGAGAAGAGCTTAACTGACTCAAAGTAAGTTGGTCCAGCTGTGGAAAATTTGACTCAGTATGTAAGGCATAATTTCCACTTTCCACATTTTGAAATAAGCTTTTAAAGAAGCTAGTCACCAGAATTCGCAATTCTTCTTCACTATCAACCCAATTGCCTTGATCATTTTTAAGAGTCTTAACTCTATTTCTTCTTCTAGTCATGTTTGTTTTGAGATGGTAGTATCTAGTATTCCTGTCCCCTTTACTAATCCATTCAGTGCGTGACTTTTGAAACCATTTAACCTCTTCAAGAAAGAGTAACTCATCAAGCTCAGCTTGTAATTCATATTCCAGATTACATAAGAAATTTGAATACGGGTAAGCATCAGAATTCTGAATCTCTTTTAATCTAGCAAGGATATTATTTTTCTTTTTTTCCACAAACCCAAAAACATCCCTGTTTCAAGTTAAAATGGAAGTCTTGAAATTTTCCAGATTCTTTTCCATATCTTCACCATCTACCCAATTCTGAGAAAGAAACGCTTTAAAATTTT